CTGTCAGTAAGAAGAGATTTGCCTTCTCCTTCCCGTGTGCTTGGAGGGGGCAGCAGGAGAGATGAGGGGCAGGAGGGGAATGGAGCACGGCTTGCTGCGGAGCCCCGGAGGTGTGTGCAGCGCAGCTGGGTGGGAGCAGCGTGCCCAGCACGGGGGGGGCACTGCTGAGCAGGGGTGCCGGGCTCCGGCTCCCGGCCATGCCTTCTCACGGGGTCCCTGCTGTCCTCTGCAGATCTGAGCCAAGTGGAGATAACCCACGCATACCTGGCTAAACAGGCGGACGAGATTTCCCTGCAGCAGGCGGACGTTGTCCTGGTGTTGGGCGGAGAGGATGGTGAGTGTCAGCAAGCGGGGAGCTGCGGCCGGGGAAGGCTTACCTTAGGCGGAGCTATGGTGGGGGAAACGCTTCAGTGACCCCACTGACCTGGGATTTTAGCAATTCTTGGAAGCTTCCAGGAAGCCCTAGCCAGTGCAGGGTGCGTGTCGCTGGCTGGTGTTGTGGGCCAGCAGCCGCCGGGTCCCCGCGGGCTGTCGGAGGTGGCACTGCTGCGGGCAGTTACTTACTGTGGTGCTGTGCGCGGGCTGTGGCTGGCAGCCAGCAGCAGAGACCTCAGCATCGATAGCAACAACCTCAGAGCAGGCAGGAAATCGGAAACCTCCTCCCCTGCGAAGCTTTCCCTCGCTGGCCCCTCCGTGGGAAGGGGAGCGGTGCAGCCCTCTCCTTCCACGCGCATCCCCAGGAGCAGCGGCCCTTCCTCCTTGCGTGACCGGCTCTGTTCTTCGCCTAGGCTGGTGCTGGGGTGAGAGGCTGAGGGATGGAGAAAGGGGCTGGTTTCCCCAGTCCTGCGCTCGGCAGATCACCAGCCGCACGGCCGTGGAGTGCAACGTCCGCCGGATGGAGCGGCTGCGGGATAGAGACCAACGTGTAGGCTTACAGCCACGGAAAGACGCCTCTGTCGTGACTCATTTCAGGGGTCTTCAGCCCTCTGCGGACTGAGCCCGTGGGGAGAAGGGAGCGGGAGATCCTTTCTTCTTGAATATCGTTTATCTTAAGATCTGCCGCCTGTGACTGCTCATCGTTCAGGAGCGGTCTTTGTAGCGGCCGTGACAGCAGCTAATTAATGTGAGACCTGGCATCCGACTGCTCCTGGCCAATGTATTAATGACCTGGAAGAGGCTTCCAGAAGCAGCCAAGGTGTTGGCTCAAGTTGAAAAGGCTGCGGCTGTGTTCT